TTTTTTTTTTTTATATTGGTTTAACTCCACGTGGCTGCTTAGGGTCTCTTTTGCCTTTTCACCGAATATTTGGAGTTATTATGGGGATGGCAATGACTTTCCTTGAAACTATATATGCTCGACCTGTATCCATTTATGAAGGATTTAATTGTATGTAAAAATTGTAACTTATAAAAGAATTTGTCCAAATATAATAATAATAATAATAATAATTTACCACTTATCGTTTGGTTTTAAATGTCATTTTTCATATAACACTGAGAATCGTTTGGTGCACCGGCCTGAGTGTTTAGCTCTGGGATGGCCGGTTCCATGGAGCTTCAGCTCGGTATCAGTGTTTGACCTCGTCAAGGCGCTTGTTTAGGCAGCTCAAGCTACGAGTCGACCTGAATAAAAGATCAACATGCCAAGCTCCTCTAGGAGCTCAGACAGAGATTGAAGAGGTGTTAGGACCTGTAGGTTATACAAGTAAAGGTCAGGGTTTGACTTGGTAAGAGCTTACGGTGGATAGGTCGTGAGGTCGCTGGGGATCTAGAGATTTAAAAGTCGTGTAGTAAGAGGGAACATAATCCTTTTAATGATGGTAAGTGTATCTTGTTAATGAATTTAAGATTTCAGAGATGTGTTAAACTAGAAAAAAAATATATATATATATATGATTGAATGTCTTTCCAAGCAAAGACCCTACTTGGGCAAGAAGATAACCAAGGTATACATGAGGTTACCAAGTTTTGTTTTAAACGTCTTTAGCGTAAAAAAATCATATAACACTCACGAGCAAGATTTTGACTTGAGCGTTGAAAATTTTTCACCGGTACACCTCCCAACATGTTCTGCAAATCATCATAGCTCATGGTGAATGACCGATATTGGTGGTTCCGATTTACCGGTTCGGGGGCAATTTGCGTATCAATTTTATGTCATATTCTCATTTTAGTTATATTTATTATTTTATGTCATTATTTTAATATTATAATATAAGACTTTCGTAGGTTTTATTGACCATAAAAAAATTATTGGTATAGAATTATTAGAAAAGAGATAAAAATATATATATGATTTCTAAATATTTTTTTTTTTTGGTACATATGATTTCTAAATATTAAATAAGCAGTATATACAACAAATGCATAAATATTCTTTTATTTTTTTCTACCAAAGACTTTTTTTATAGATTTTTTTAAAGACCCCATCACCCATAATATCCACGGTTTACACTTAATTTGTTAACAGTAATAATATTTTAATTATATTTATAAATTATATATATCTAAAACAAATATTATTTACAGTATGATAAATCTCATTTCAAATGTTTCAATATTTTTCAAAACATTATTATATTGTAATTATATTTTCTAAATATAGAGTTAGTCTCTTTCTTATTTTCAAAATTTCAAGTACTTTAAATGTATAATATTTGATGATTCAAAATATAATATATATATATATATAGTATATATATATATATACGAATGCAATATTTGAAAAGCTATCTACAAAAGCTTCTCAGATAAGCTCAGACTTTAAAAAAAAAAAAAAGGTTTGGTACCAAACCAAACTTATTTGAATACATGGAGTTTATAAGCTAACCAAATAAGATATAAGCTAGCTTATGATGCTTACTAAAACCCTCTCTTTCCTTTCGCCCCCATGTCGGAATTTCCCGTTTCATAAGTCCGAGATCTACACCTATGAATTGAAAGGTCCGAATGATCAACTCTACAATCAATTGGTAGAATCAATAGGTCTTCAAGTTGTTCATTTGAAAAAATGGAAACCCTTCTTACTGTCTACTTTGATACTAATGAAGTCGAGCGCTAGTGGGCGGCCCTTGGATGATTGGCAGATATATATACATTACCTCTATGTGCAACCATGGACGGAGAATTTTGACGTGAACACTGTTGAAATCAAGTTTCATTGTCAACAGTGTAAAATAATCTTTTTCGCCGTATAGACCTAGCAAAGTACAACAAAAACAAAAAGGGGAATAGTCTTCTTTTTCTATATTCAATCAAGAAAAAAACCCCTTGTTTGATGATGAGGGGTGGAGAATGAATTTCTTAGGTGGTCTTGCTTCTTTCTTTCTCAATGTAATCTTTCCTCTCTGAAGTTATATGACTGAACTTCGCTTCGCTTCCTCAACTTCGTGGACCCTCATATTATGAATTTTGAAACTGCTATTTCTATTAAAGAAGGAAAAGCAGCAACCAAAGAGTAGAAGCGGCTCTAAATTTAGTGAACCATCTCTCTGAAAGATGTTCAAAAAGTTTATTTCTTATGTTAAGCCAAAAAATTAATAATAAATCTGAACTAGTGAATCACTGCGGTATTATATATACGCCCGAAATTCACTTAAAGCTCTAAGCTAACTTATCAATTATATGCTAGTTTATCAATTATGTTTACCAAACATAGCCATATGATAAAAATGTTTAATAAAATTAGCTGATAAGCTAGCTGAAATAAAAATTTCAACGAGCTTATTTGAAAAGCTATCCAAAGATGAAGCGCAGATGAAGTGCACCAAGACAGAGAAAGCTAATATGAAACTCAAGTGAGATTTCATCCCAAAACCAATTGGTGAAAGAAGGTCTAGTTCATTAGACTTATGAAATAGACTTATATTCCCCAAGTGATATTGTAACAAGAATGAAACCTCACTTGGGTTTTATATGAGCTTTTCATGTTATAGTGCAATTCACGTGTGTGGGACCGCACCCCTTTTTCCCCTATTTCTTACATACCAAAAGCTTAATTTTATTCATTCGTGGCCAATGAGATGTTCATTATCATATCCTATAAATATATGGTGAAATAAAGAAAATCGAATTTGGATTTACCCTACCAAATATTTCATAGGCCATAGAGGACCGCATTTTGCCACAAGTCCAAATTATCAATTTGCTTTGTTTAGAACTTTTATGTGATGCACTCCACATTGTCACATGATTATTTATTATTGCGTATGAAACTAAAGGGAAACCCAAGAAGTTGAAAAGAAGTGGCTTTTACTCAAGTTACAATATATTTACATGAATTTAAGATATAGCATGATTGGGAAAACGAACTATTTTTGACTGATTGAATATTTATTTTTTAATTTTAAATCAACTGAAATATGATATATACTTTTTTAAAAAATATCAATATAATTAAATATTATTAATTGGCCATTGCCACACACCGCATCAACAAAATTTAATGTATATGCCTTCATACAATTTTAGCTATCTATTCTTTTTAATAATGTATCTCTTTTATTTCACATCAACTTTGATCATTACATTTTAACTAATCTTGAAACACAAACTCATAATCAAATTCAAAACTTCATGAAGTCACCTTTTTCAACTTTAATATACTTACTATAAATTCAAATGACATCACAAAAATTAATGTACAATCGCCACCGATTGAGTTATAATTTACAAAACTGACACAAATTTATAGGGCTGTTTTCAATCGATAAATTTTTTTTTATTTGATTTATTTGATAAAGTGAGATAATTTTTGTTTTCAAAAAATTGTTTTAATTAAATTTTGTTGCACTTTGAGGTCATATTTGGAGATGAGTTAAAATGTAATGATTAAAGTCAATGTGAAGTAAAAATATAAAAAGGTGATTGAATTTTATTGTTAGTTAAAATCTTATGAGTGAATGAATAATAAATTTAATTGATGTCATGCATAAAGATAACATTATTTAGTTATATTAATAATATTGAGTATAATTAAATTGAGTTTAAGTTTTAAGTAAAATTTTTGAAAATCAAAATGATTTGGTAGATTTGAAGTGGACTTGATTGGTTAAATCCAAATTGGATTCATGTCCAATGGAACCAAACAATGGTGAACTTTAAGAACCAAATTTCATAACTATCACCCACTTTTAACTAATACATAGCAAACATGAAAGAAGTAAGCAATCAAACAAACTAACCCTTAAAATTAAGAAGTTAATCTTCCCTTAAACATGAAAACAAATAATCATCATAAACATCTCATTTGTCCAAATACAATGGACAGAGACATATTAGCTACACACACCACAAATGCAGAAAAAAAAAAGCATAAATTGAGTTAATAGTACACGACGAAAATTCACAAACAGCTCGAAAATCTACATGTAGTAGATAAACTAGCACTCCGATCAGCTTAGGTTTAACCGATAACAAGAAATCGGCCACATCAATATCCGAACCGCTCGTTTAGTAAAACTTATGCTATTGTTGGAACTGTCCCACCGGCTTCCAAAATTTGCCGCTCAAGCTACATTCGACCAAAGAGTGTCTTTTAATAGTTGCAGAAAATATTTATAGCATAAGATAAACATTGTGAAGAGTGATTATGCAGGAAAAAAAAAAAAACAATTATGGCTAATTACAGAAACTAGTCCTGAGGTTCAATTCATTATCAAAATTGCAGACCCACCACTGAGGATTGCATTTCGCTCGGATGTTATTAGCTATATAGAAATACGAAACATGATACTCGAAAACGAACACATACCCGGAACAAAGTTTCCAGCTTGTTCTTCACGAGAAGGTATTCGTTTCTTATTTGTTGCAAACACATCATACACCTGCATTAGAAACTTTTAGCCCCTTTTTTTTTTGTCCAAACATGACAAAAGAACACAAGTACAGACACTTGATAAGCCCTTACAAATCTTTTACCCCTTCAACTATTTTTTCCTCAGTCTCATAGTGTAAAATTCCTAAGTTTCTAAAACAGAAAAATCTGAGTTATGAACAAACCAGCAGACACTCCCCCAGCAAATAGACAATCCATCAACGAGATCGATCAACAACTATCGGTTAAGAAAACAATTTAGAAAATGCTTACAGAAATCAAACTCACCCATCAAGGTTATTTTGCTCACAAAAGTTCCTGAAAGCAACACAAGAATTCTTCACCCTTTGTGCACCTATGCTGGCATTTGGAAAACGAAACAAAAAAAATCGAGTTTAGTGATTAAAATTCCGAAACCATAGCCAGATCTGAATCAACAATCACTTGATATAGAAAAATATTATCATCAAAGTAAGCAAATTTAATTGATGAAACAGTGGATTGCATCAAATAGCTGCTAAAAGGACCAAAAAATCATCTTTTCTTTTTTCTTGAAAATAAAAGCTACAGAAAAATAAAAAAAATATGAATAAAGGCAGCAAGCAAACTATACCTGGAACTGCTACCTTTGAACTGATGAACATGAGCATCAACCTGCTTAAAATCGACAACCGGCTGTTGACTACATAGTTTAAATCAAATAAAAACAAAAAAATTAGTACAAATCTAAACCTATGAACAACCTCAAAGTAAAGACATAGAAAGACGAAAACAAAGCTACATAAATGAATCTCACAGTGCAATCGCTAAATTGTTTATAAGCTTCTCGGAATCCTCGAAGAAAAGCGATATCACTTCGACTACGAAATCTGGGTTGTCCCCATCTTGGAGCTTCTGCAGCTGCACAAATTGATCATCCAAAAACCCCTTTTGTCCCCAGATCACAAATCGGGGGTAAAATTCGTCAGATTGATAAAATTCAAGGACCCATACTAAATTTTGTTCCAAAAAGATTCGACCTTTATCAAGAAAAATGAACATCACAGTTACAAAACGAGAGAAAAAAAAAAAAATCGAGTGAAATACCTCACGATAAAGAGAAGTTGAGAAGTCGATGAACTGTTTCTGCAACTGGGCTACAATCTCCATAGCTATGTTCTGAAGTGTCTGCTTTGTTCTTTAGGTTTTCTGCTCAACGCGAACAACGCCTTTTTTGGTCCGTGTAATTATAACACGGGGATGCGGCATCAACGTTAGAATTGACTTGCGAAAAACAAGGGAAATAAATTAGAGAAATGATATAGGTACGTAACACTAATATTGTACGTAGAGTGTGTACATAATGCTCATATTGATGGGACCTATTAAAAATAAAAAAAAATAAGTGAACTTTATTTTATGTGAGTGTTATATACACTTCTATGCACATTAATTATGTACTTGTAGTTCTTCGGCAAGAAGAGATGCTCTTAATTCAAAAGGCAACGAGGGACTGGCAGTTCCTAGACGACCGCAATACATCTTTTTACCACAGGCAGGTCAAGCACCAGCGGCGCCGCAACCGTATCACAGAGCTGAGGACCGAGGATGGCACTAGAGTGACTAATCCAGTTGCCCTTAGTCGGCTGGCGATGGAGTATTTTGAAAAGATTTACACTGATGAGTCGCCCGCTGCACGCGGTCGAGCTCTGGATGAGCTCTGGATGGCGCGTTCCCCGTTTGTGC